TTTTTTAAATTTTAATTCCTGGGTTGATGCTTGTAAATTGTGTATGGGAAATAGCTTTATTCCTAGTATTTAGAACACTTACGGAACGACTACTCAGAGATGTCTTCAGTGTAGCTAGCTTTGGAGTTTTGAGTCTGTTTCAAGATTCTACCTTTTCAGTTTATTGGGATGAGAAGTTGCTGTCTATTTGGTCTAACTTATCCTCTGTTCTTTGGCACTGGCCTATCGTATTGTTTGTGATTCTTAGGTAATCTCAGTCTTTTTTTCTTTTTCTTTTTTGGTACTGTGGATCAAACTTGGGATCTTGCACTTGCGAGACAGGCAGCAGCACTACTGAGCTGAATCCCTGGTCCAAGTAATCTTAATCTTGGCATACAGGAAGAACAACTGATTAGCACAATTATGGCACTTGGGCGAAAGTAGTACAGTAACAATAGCATCAAATACTACCTAGAAAAGGATAAACTGTGGTTACTATTAATTTGTCCCCTGTAACTGTATGATCTAGATTTGTGGTTATATAACAAAGTCTAAAAACAGAAAATTGTATATTATATATGCCCTCAGAATGGTGATTTTACCCTCAGGAGAGAAAATTTTAAAGGGGCTGGGGGGAAAAATATGAATAGAAGAGGAAGAGATTAGAAGCAAGGTGGGAGGATAGAAGAAGATTATGCAAACTTTGAGAAACTGGTGAAGAAGATAAGGAAAGAGAGAAAACAACAGAGCAACACAAAACTAGAAACAGTGTTCACACTTAAAACAATGAAGGAAAGAGCGGAAAAAAAAATGTCCACTTCAAGGAATCTCTCAGCTCTCCTCAGTAAACAAACTGGGCACAGAGATCCCAGATCTGTTGATTAATCCCAACAAACAAAGCTGTGAATTTACAGCAGAGTGATGGATAATCCCAGCGATCCTGCACCTTAGTTCTGAAGCTCAGGCTAGTTTCTGGCTGTGAGGCTAGAACCCGATTTGTTCAGCCTGCAACACTCTGTGTGCCTTCTAAGGCCTAAACTTGGCTCCCTGCTGCCTGGAGCTTGGCTCCTTGACTTCCTGCCAACTTAAACTTGGTTCCTCCTCACCTTCATGGAGCCAGCCTTCAGCTGCTCTGAATTCCAAGCTCAATCAGCCCTTGTGCATGTTGGCTACTGGCCAGTTGCCTTCCCCTGGGGAATGTCTGAACCTGAAAAACTCACCAGCCGCTGCTGTCCGCCTGGTCCACTGTTCTATTCCACTGGTGCATTTCTCTGTGGAGGGCTCTGGGCTCAGCAGTAGTCACTATGCATTTACAGGTTTGAGCTGTCCTTCCCACACAGTGAGTCAGGGCTCAGGGAGAATGTGCCATTTGCACCTCCTTCATTTAAGTTTCTCACTTTCCCCATGGGTTTAAATTTTTGCCTCAAATCCTTGTTGGGTCCTGGGAACCTACTTCTTCCTCCTTGCCTTCCTTTGCTATATTCCAATGTCTGGACACCAGATATCAGGCTATTTCTCTGCTGTTCATTATGCCACCGTCTTCCTGAAAGTCCTTAACACTTCATACTTTAGAATTGGTCAAAGTGAATTTTTTAATGCATCTGAGGTGATAGCTTTCTTAACCTGATTTATGTTGTACCCCATCAGTATATACAACCACTATTTGTAAGTTCAAAATAAAATTAATGCTCAAGGATTTGATCCCTAGAGCCAAAAAAAAATTTTTTTTATTTAGAAAAATCTACATTGAGATACTACTTTTGACCTACTAGAATTGATACAGTAGTAATAGTAGGAAGTATTTGGTAAATATTATATAATGGTACTCCACTTTTGGAAAATAGTCTGAAAGATTTTCTAAAAGTTACCACTCTTAGATATACATACCCAAGAAAAACAAAAACATGTCATGTAAAAACTTGTACACAGATGTTCTTTACTTATGTGGTACTAGTCAAAATAACCCAGATGTCTGCCAGTTAATGCCTACATAAGTAAAATGTTTTATGTGCATACAATGGAATACTTCATTCATCAATAAAGATAAATGAAGTTCTGATAAATGCTACAAGCTGGACTATCCTTGAAAACATGCTTAATGGAAGAAGCCAGTCAGAAAAGACCACATATTGTAGGATTCTATTTTTTCAGTCCAAATTAGGCAAATCCATAAACCCATAGAAAATAGATTTATTTTTCCTAACAGATGTTATAAGATTGGGGAGGGAATAATGGGAAGACTGATAATAAGGTATAAGGTTTCTTTCTGGTAATGAGAATGGAAAGCTGAGCTAAGGGGATCACAAGTTTGAGCCCAGGTTGTCAACTTAGCTAAATTTATCTCAAAAGGTCTGGGGATATAGTTTAACACAAAGACCCTGCTTTTCATTCTTAGTGCCACAAAAAGAAACAAAAAACAAAAGAAGAAATCAAAAGTTGATTGTAGTGATAATTTTGTTTTTTTTTTTTTTTTTGATACTGGGGATTGAACTCCCGTCCTTGTGCTTGCAAGGCAGGCGGTGAAACCACTGAGCTAAATCCCTGGCCTTGTGGTCATTGTTTTTTAGCTGGGAAGGTACTAAAAATCATTGACTTGCATTTAGTCTATCATGTGGTGTATAGATTATCTCTCATTGAGGCTGTTACAGAAACAAAGCAATTGAATAAGCCAGGCATGGTGGCACATACCTGTAATCCTAGCTACTCAGGAGGCAAAGACAGGAGGTTTGCATGTTTGAGCTCTGCTTGAGCTCTTAATAAGACCTTGTCTCAAAATAAAACAGTGATTAGGTGGGGGGATTAGCTCATTGGTATTGACGCCTGCCTCGCAAGTGCAGGGTCCCAAGTTCAATTCCTGGTACCAAAAAATGGAAAAGAAAAGAGTGCTGTAGCTCAGTAGTAGAATGCTGCTGAGTTCAATTCCCAGTGCAAAAATGTGTTGTGTATAAAAAAGGTCTTTTGAAAGCATTAAGTACATTCAGTAGTTTTACTGTTGTCTGTATTAGCAGTGAATAAACTGTACCTACTCAATCATTTATTTAATTAATGTACATTCAGACCTTTTCTTTTGGCCTCTAGGTCCCTGAGCACCAGCCCATTACATTATGTAGTGGTGTTGAAGATACAAAACATTATGAGGAGGCCAAGAAATGTGTAGAAGAATTAGCATTGTACCTGAAACCACTCAGCAGTGCTAGAGGTAAATCTGTTTTAATTATCCATGCTATGCAAACATCTGCTAGAGATACTTCCATTACCGTAAAAGTTGTGAGCTATATGTGAATGCTGATGAAATTCATTTATTTAGTGTAAACCAGACCTACTAACACGTCAAGTAAAATAGTGAATTTTGAGTTCGTGTGATGGTGGAAACATTTGAACTGATGGCAAAACTAAGTTTAAGTGTACTAGTGCTTCACAAACGCTTTCTGTCATTTGACATTTCTGAATAGTCTTATCTAGCTGTAAATGATGTGTTACAGGATATTCTGTAATAAAAATGGAAGTTGCCATCACTTCCCAGACAGCATTTACTCATTAGTTATAAAAGTGAGAATAGCCACTATGAAATAATATACTAGAACTGTTAGAACCTCAAGCTTTGGGTTTTAAACTAATTGTTAATGTTTTCTGACGTTTCCCCCCAATAATTAAAATGAATAATATTCAAATGTTATAATGAGTATAAGATACATGTATATATGTATATTTTTTTAAGATCGGGGAGGAAATTATGGGAAGAAATGATGGATATACCTATATACATATATCTCATATAAATCTACTGAGACTTTTATTTATTTTTTTAATATTCTGATAGGACCCAGAACTATTCACATACCTACGTCAATCAGCCCATCAGAGGAAGTGCTCCTGGACTGTAAAATTACATTGTAAAACTACAAATAACTTCTTTCTTCTCTTCTAAAGGAGTGGGTCTGAATAGCACTACCCAGAGTGTTCTCAGTCGCCCGATGCAAAGGAAGCTAGTGACTCTGGTCCACTGCCAACTAGTGGAGGAAGAAGGCAGAATACGTGCCATGAGAGCTGCTCGATCTTTAGGTGAACGAACAGTTACAGAGCTCATTCTCCAGCACCAGAATCCTCAGCAACTCTCTTCCAATCTTTGGGCAGCAGTCAGAGCTAGGGGCTGTCAGTTTCTTGGACCAGGTATATAATTAAAATTTAGTATTCTACTGGAAATTCTAAAAGTGTAGTGTAAGAACTAATGATGGACAAGACTGGTTCTTTGTGAATTCTGCTATCAAGTAACATCCCACGTTAAATCCTGGCTTAAGTAATTCTGTTAGTTTTTCAGAAAATTTGAAATTTTTCTTTTAATACCTAAAATTTATTCATTTTGAGAGAAGTTTTTAAATGAATGCTTTGAATAATTTATATACTTTTAAAATCAAATATATACAAGACCGAACTGCCAATGAAAATGAAAATAAATATTTTCTATTGTGTGATATCTACAGAAATGATTGTATATTCCTTTTCTGGTAAAGTTTATCTCTGCACATGATAAATTTTGGTTTTGTCTAAATTCTAGCAATGCAAGAGGAAGCTTTAAAGCTGGTTCTCCTGGCCTTAGAAGATGGTTCTGCTTTGTCAAGAAAAGTATTGGTTCTCTTTGTGGTGCAGAGGTTAGAGCCACGATTTCCTCAAGCCTCTAAGACTAGCATTGGGCATGTTGTTCAGCTTCTTTATAGAGCCTCTTGCTTTAAGGTATGAACCTAAAATTCAGCTTGAAAGAAAAAATTGTCCCTTCTTCCACACTTAAAGTAAAATGGAGTTTAATAAAGTTGCCTGTGCCCTTTCATAAAACCTAAGCTGTTTTTGTTTTTGTTTTGTTTGTTTGCAGTACAGAGGATTGAACCCAGGGCCTCATAGATCCATCCTCAGCCCTTTTTAAGACTTTATCCTGAGACAGGGGTCTCACCAAGGTGCCAAGACTGGCTCTGAACTTCTAATCCTCTTGCCTCAATTTCCTGTGTAGCTGGGATTATAGATCTCTGCCTAGCATAAACAATTTTTTTGTTTTGAGACTGGGTCTTGCTACATAGTCAGTGGTCTTGAACCCATAATCCTCTTGCATCAGACTCCTGAGTGTTAGAATTATGGGCATGTGCCACCATGGCGGATACAAACAAATTTCATTTAGAGATTTATTCCTGTGGTAATTACACATATGCTATCTGGAGTTTCAATTGCTATTTTGATGTAGCATATATGTTAATGCTGGACATATTCTCCTGTGTTCTGAATTTCAATCAGCACTGCCTCAAATATTGGTACTTACTTTGTATCATTTATTGTCCTCTTTTATTTCTTTTTTTAAAATTTCTTCTTGAATTCAAGGAGTTTTGCTCCTGACACAACCCATAATTAATATTTCATAAACCTGCTAGCTATAGGGAAGCCCATTTGAGAGATCATCACATTCTCTCATCTGATTCTCTACTGAAAATGGGCCTCTGTTTTCCTGAGGGACCCTGGGTCTGACAAAACTTGTAGCCAGAATTACTTCAATGGTACAGATTGTCTCTGAATACAGTAAGTCACTTGTATTGTAATGGTTAGAGTAATATTATTATATAGTATAGTCCAGAATGTATTTCAGAATGTCTCTACTTCTACTGTTACAGAAAGTTTAAAAAATAATGAAAGCTTAGCTGGGTGTTGTGGCACACGCCTGTAATCCCAGCACTCAGGAGGCTGAGGCAGGAGGATCGCTGTGAGTTCGAGAACTTGATCAAAAAAACAAAAAAAAAAAAAAAAAAAACAAAGTCAAAAAAATAATGAAAGGACAGGAAAAAATGCAGTTCTTTACATGTGGAATAAAATAAGTGGCTCAACTAGGTGCAGTGATACACACCTGAGAGCCTAAGGTAGGAAGATCTTAAGTTCAAAGCCAGCCTAGATAACTTTGCAAATTCTTTTCTCAAAATAGAGCTGGGGATGTAGCTATGGTAGACAGTTTGCCTAGTATGTATGAAGCCCTGGGTTACACACACATATACACATACCCCAGAATACCCACAAAGTGAACCTCTCAGTTCTAGTTAAAACTATTAACAGTGGGTCGGGCTAATAGCTCAGTGATACAGCGCTTGCTGGGCATGCATGAGGGTCTGGTTTTGCTCCTCAGCACTACCAAAAAGAAAAAATATTTTTAACAGTAATTTTAACAAATTTTCAATTGAGTCATTCTTTGTAGGAGTATGTGTCCATATAGCTGTGCCATGACATTCCTTTTATTATACCAATATAGGATATAGAAAGTATATTTTGCCATTTAGTGAAATTTAGCAGGTATTGAGGGATTTTTTTTTTTTTTTTTTTTTTTTTTGTACGAGGTATCAAACTCGGGTCCTTGCACTTGCAAAGCAGGCGGTGGAACCACTGAGTTACATCCCCAGCCCTAAGGGAATGTTTTCATACAGATCAATATATATTTGCTTTTTTAACTTATATTTGAATATGGCAAGATATCATTTAGGGTTCTTTTCTTTTCCTTTTAAGTTAAGGTCTCATTATATAGTTCAACCTGGCTTTAAACTCAGTATATAGCCCAGGCTGGCCGCAAACTCATGGTGATCCTCTTGCCTCTGTGTCCCAAGTGCCGAGATTACACACATATGCCACAACATCTGGCTAATTTAGGGGTTTTGACTGTAGTTCTTAATTTTTATCTGTTTGGTCTCTCTATGGACTTACCTGCCAAAATGTAAAGTATACCTTTCTTTGTAGTAAGAACGGAACATATTTTAAAATATAGCAGCAGTGTGACCTAAAATTCCTGACTGCAATATTTTGTAATGTGTTAGGTGGGAAGAAGAAATGGAAATTTTCTACTAGAGTAATAGTAAAATTTTATGGAATAAAAAGTTAAGGCAAAAAATATGTTTTAAAAATATATTAAGGGATAGGCAGGTGATCTTAAGGTAGAATTAATTACTTTGGCTTGTTCAGCATTTAGCCTACATCCAGCTGGAAATATAAGTCATTAAAGTTTTAACAGTAGCACCCATATCAACAAGAGAATTAAATGAGTTAATAAAATAGTATAATAATAATTTGGTAATTTAGCATACTGACTGGCACATTCTAAGTGCTTAATAAGTGGTAGCCCCCATGCAGACTGGGGATCAAATCAGGACCTTGCACTTGCCAGGCAGGCACAATGCTACTGAGCTACATCCCCAATCCATGCTTTGTTTTTAGATAGGGTCTCACTATCTTACCTATTCTAAACTTGAAATCCTTTTGCCTTAGTCTCCTGAGTACTTGGGATTTTTATAGGTGTGCGCCACCATGCCCAACTCACACATATACTTTAATCTGCACACATATATTAAGTTTTGTCCAGTCTTTGAATTTCAGTCCTTCACACATTTATTGTTTTTGCAAAACCTGTCTTAGTAAATTTTGACATCTATATTAGGGTATGTTTTACAGGCAGAAGTATACTACATTTTAATCTTGTTATTGTTGCTAAAATTTTGTTTTTGTTTTTGTTTTGTTTTGTTTTGTTTTTTTGAGACAGGATCTCACTATGTAGTTGAGAATGACCTAGAACTCACTGTGTAGCCCTGGCTGGTCTCAAACTCCCAGAGATCCTCCTGCCTCTGCCTCCTGAGTGCTGGGATTATAGGTGTGTGCCACCATGCCTGGCTAGAAGAAATTTGTTACATTAAAATTATGCTGTTCTGCATGCCTATAATCTCAGCTACTGGGGAGGCTGAGGCAAGAGAATCTCTGTGTGTTGATATATTAAATTTACTGGGTTTTTCCTTTTATTATGAGATTATTTATTTATATCTTACTAGGTCACCAAGCGTGATGAAGATTCTTCTTTGATGCAGCTGAAAGAAGAATTCAGAACTTACGAAGCTTTGCGACGAGAACATGACTCCCAGATTGTGCAGATTGCTATGGAAGCAGGCTTGAGAATTGCACCAGACCAGTGGTCCTCTCTGCTTTATGGAGACCAGTCTCATAAATCTCATATGCAGTCCATTATTGACAAGGTAGAGCCTTTTTTGTTCCTATTTCTTAGACTAATCTAAGGAGTTTTGGTAATTTATGATTTGGTGATTTATTTATTTAACAAACGAGTATTGAAATGAATACTGCATGTCGGGCTTTTGTAAACTGTAGTCACTGAGGTTCCACGTCATGTCCTAACTTGTCATATCAGAATACCAGTTTTTTTATAGACTTGTAAATATTTGATTAGTGTTATCATTGTTTATCCAGGGCCCTCCAATATTCCTTTGAGGGTCTTCTATCTCTGTTTTGTCATTGCTTCTTCCGTTATTGTTCCCTTTGAGTTTTCATTGTGTTAAACTCATTTTCTAACTATATTATATTGTCTTCCCATAGCAGACATTATTCATCTGTAAGATACACACATACGATGAAGTTAAGATTCTCAGTCAGACGGGCTGGGGATTTAGCTCAGTGGTGCCACACCTGCCTGGCAAGTGCAAGGATTTTCAGTCAGTATTCACATATAATGAAGTTACTACCATTCCAAGTTTGATTCAATTCTCAGTACTTATTTCTACTTTATCTTTGTCTGTTATGACGAATCAGGAGATGTGAATATTAGGTAAGGTTCCAATTAGTTATATTTCTCTTAAAACTGAAGTAATTGTTATAATTCAATCTGAAATGTATGAAGTTTCTATTAAAAAGTCTTAAAGCACCATGTAGTATATACTGTTGTATGTTAAAAGAAAATTGTGGGGGCCGGGCCTGGTAGCGCACGCCTGTAATCCCAGCACTCGGGAGGCTGAGGCAGGAGGATCGCTGTGAATTCGAGCCCAGCCTGGGCTACATAGTAAGTTGTACGTCAGTCTCAACTATATAGTGAGACCCTGTCTCAAAAAAAACAAACAAAAAAATTGTGGGCCAGGGACTTAGATCAGTGGCACCATGCCTGCCTTGCAAACACAAGGTCCTGAGTTTGATTCCTAGTTATCCCACACAAAAAAGAAAACTGTCTTGCTGGGCATGGTGATTCATGCCTGTAATCCCAGCACTCAGGAGGCTGAGGCAGGAGGATTCCCTTGAGTTTGAGACCAGCCTTGGCTACATGAGTTCAAGGACAGCCTGAAGTACATAATGAGACCCAGTCTAGGGAAAAAAAATAGTTTTATCTCATTTTACTGTTTTACTTTAAATACTTAAAATTCCAGAAATGGATGCCAACTCTAGAGTCCACCCTACATTTGATTTAATTTAAATTAACTGTAAGAGTAGTTTAGAAATACTAATAGTTGGGCAGGGTATTTGGCTTAGTTGTTCTGCTGTCTGCCTTGTCAGCACAAGGGCCCAAGATCAGTCCCACCAAAAAAAAAAACTAATAGTTAACATTTAACTAACTAAAAGCTTCTTATGTACCTAGTGGTTGGTTCTAAGTAATTCATTTAATTCTTTTACAAGCTCCATGCCTTCCCTTTTACTCATTTTTTCAAATTACTTTGGAACTAAGTGACAGAAGTAGATTTGAATCTTGATGTGCTGACTCTAGATTTTTTTTTTTTTTTTTTTTTTTTTTTTTTTTTTTTTTTTAGGCAGGGTCTCACTATGTAGATTATGCTGGTCTTGAACTCACTGTAGCCCAGGCTGGCCTTGAACTCATGGTGGTCTTCTTGCCTCAGCCTCCCATAGAATATATTCTTGTCTTTCTTTTTTTTTGGTACTGGGGATCAAATTCGGGTCCTTGTGCTCATGAGGCAGGTGGTAGAACAACTGAACTAAATCCCCAGCCCTAGAATATGTTCTTAACCATTAAACCTCTTATATGCTAATTTGTCCCTATGTTTTTACTATTTTCAAAATAGGACTCCTTGAGCTAGGAGTGGCACCTGTAATCCCAGCTCTCAAGAGGCTGAGGCAGGAGGATCCGAGTGAGACCCTGTATTTAAAAAACCAAAAAGAACAGAAAACAAGATTCCTTGAATTAGTAATAGATCATTTTCAGAGAATTACCAACTGTTTTTTTTTTTTACTTGATACATTATTTCACTTTACAAGTCTTCCCTATAATTAATCAAAAGCTGCATCTCCTATGTGTAATAGTTGTTTGTATCTGAAGCTGTGCTACTGACAAATTAGAACTTAGTAAAACTTCTGTAACTTTCTGCCTTTTAAAAGAAATTTGGCCTACTTTTCTAAAGATTTTACAAAGAGGTTACTTTTTCTCCAAATTTAACTATATAAGTAGGTGTACATCCTACAGTAATCTCAAATCACACACACAATGCTTTGAATTTAATATCTAAGACCTCTGTACAACAAAATGGTAAATAGACTGCATTGTATGTGATATCTTGTTACTGTAAAGCAGTATGTGGTAAAAGGTTATGTGATAATGGAAATGTCCTGTGTAATTCATTGACCACCGTGATGAGCACTGACTAGTATGCATGGCTGTTAGGCACCTGGTTGTTTTGTTTGCCGTGTTGGGGATTGAACTCAGGACTTTGCACATGCTAATAATTAAGAGCGCTGCTACTGAGCTACATCCCCAGTCCCTGTCAGTTGAAATGTGACAGGTGGATTTGTGAACTGAAATTTTTATTTTAATTAATTAAATTTAACTAGATATGTACTGCTAAGGCTACCATACTGGATAGTCCAAATACAAAATTTTAAGTTGCAAGAAAAACTAATCATAGTAATTTATAGAAAAACATGAATTAACAGTTCATAAAGAAGATACATCAGTATATCCAAATGATGGGGTAGAATTCAGCCTCAGTGATAGTTAAAGAAATACACATTTAAAATAGTAATATACCAAATATCCCATTATGTTACTTCTTTTTACTTTTTATTTTTTTATTTCATTTATTTGGGGGGTGGTACTGGGGATTGAACTCAGCACCTGGCACTCGCAAGGCAGGCAGCAGAACCAACTTAGCTGAATCCCCAGCCCTATGTTACTTCTTTTTAAAAATACCATATAAGGCCAGGAATGGTGACTCACACCTCCGGAGGCTGAAGCATGAGGACTTCTGTATGTTTGAGGCCAGCCTTGGCTACATAGTGAGTTCAAGGTCAGCCTGAACTACATAGTGAGACCCTGTCTCAAAGGAGGGAGGACATATATATATTCCTGATGGTTTGTAACCCATATCTTTTGGGAAGCAATTTGTCAGTGAAGGAAACCCCGTAAAAATATTCCTGTGCTTTGACCGAACTTATTTCTAATAATTTATTTTAAGGGAAATACAAAATTTCAAAAAGGTTTATGAACTCAAGGATATTAATTGGTACTTTATTTATTTATTTATTTATTTATTTGGGTTTTTTGAGACAGGGTCTCACTATGTAGTTGAGACTGACCTAGAACTCACTGTGTACCCAGGCTGGTCTCGAACTCACAGTGATCCACCTGCCTCAGCCCCGAGTGCTGGGATTACAGGTGTATGCCACCGTGCCTGGCTTTGATATATTATTTAACAGCCAAAATAAAGAAATATTTAAACAAGTTAAGAATTATATGCTCATAATATACAGCCATTAAAATAAGTTAAATAAGCTGGGCTTGGTGGCGCACGCCTGTAATCCCAGCACTTGGGAGGCTAAGGTGGGAGGATCGCTGTGAGTTCGAGACCAGTGTGGGCTACATAGTGAGTTCCAGGTCAGTCTCAAAAAACAAACAAACAAACAAAAAAATAAGTTAAATAAAAAAAAAATATATCATTGTCAGCTGATACTTGACATTCTTAATAAAAAAAAATTATTGTGAAGGGACTAGGAGGGTAGCTCAGCAGTAGAGCACTTGCCCAGAATGCCCAAGGTCTGGGGCTTAATACCCAGCGCTGCAAAACAATAAGATTGCAAATGATTTCTATGTGGCTAGTGAGCCTTTTTAAAAAACTGATAGTAAAATTTTATATTTTTTAATACTTTTAATTTTTTAATAGACTTTATTTTATCCCATTTCCCACCTCAAGCCCCCTGCCCTCTAAAATTTTATTAAGTCTTAGTAGTGGATAAATATATTAGTACTTTTATTTGAAATATTTTATAGTAAAGGTGATTAAAAATACAAAAATTGTTATAGTATTAAGGAAGCCAAAACTCTAAGTACATTAATAGCTATGTTTATTTTAAAATTAGAATAAGTATATTAAAAAATTAAATAAAAGCCAGGTGTGGCAGCATACACCTGCATTCCCAGCACGCCAGGAGCCTGAGGCAAGTTTGAGGCCAGCCTAGGCTACTTAGTGAGTTCAAGGTCATCTTGAACTTTATACTGAGACACTGTCTCAAAAAAATAAAAATAAAAGACTCTCAAGCTAATACAGAACTTTTTTGGGGTTGTAGTTGACTTTTGAAATTATGTAGTGCACTTAACAGATAGACTGCAAATTGAGTCTATAAGATTTAGATTTGCATCGTACGTAGTTTTGTGTGTGGTTTTTTGGTTTTTGTTTTTGAGACAGGGTCTCACTATGTAGTTGAGACTGACCTGGAACTCACTATGTAGCCCAGGCTGGTCTTGAACTCAGTGATCCTCCTGCCTCTGCCTCCCGAGTGCTGGGATTACAGGTGTGTGCCACCACGCCCGGCTTGGCATCATAGTTTTTGATCTTAACAGAATTTGAACTCAAATTCGGTTAGACTGAACTCAGTGCCTTTGTTCTTGCTTGTGTCCCTAACATATTTCCATGAGCCAATCTGTAGGTATAGAGAAGTGCAGAGTTTATTCAAGTAGTAGGTATTTCAGTCTGGTCAAAGTATAGGATGTGTGGGTGAATAAAAATTAAATTTAATAAAAACTGTGAAAATGATTTTCTTTGAGGATTATCTGTTCTTTGGGAAAGTTAATATTGATCTTTTTTTAAGTTGCAGACCCCAGCCTCTTTTGCACAGAGCGTTCAGGAGCTAACAATCGCTCTCCAGAGGACTGGAGACCCAGCAAACTTGAACCGCTTAAGACCCCATTTGGAGCTATTAGCAAATATTGACCCTAGTCCAGGTAAACCCTACGGAAAATAATGGACTATGTGTGCCCTCAGTGCCGCAGTGTTTCTACAGTTGTCTTATGTTGTGTTCTAGACATTTTCAGAGTAGTTTTTCAGATCTTTTTATATAGTATTTTATTTTTGTCCTTCGTCTTATCCTTCTTTATCTCATATAAGTTCACATCAACTAATACTTATTCAGTACTTTTACTGTGCTACTCACTTATGAGGAAAATAGATCTCTCTGGGCCCCTCTATGTTTGTTTTGTTTTGTTTTTTCTCCTGTCACAAAGTTTTGCTGTGTTTTATTTCTTACTTTGCCAAAATTCACGGTTTTCTCATTTTAATATATTATATAACCTTAATTGCATTTCCTTGTTGATCCCATTTTTGTTTTTTCCATGATACCTTGTTCTGTTAAATATTCTTTCTTGCTTATCTTTATTTTGTCAGCCCTTTCCTCTTCCTTCTCTTTGACCTGAAAATGTATTGAACTTTCATTTTTCACTTAATACTTACATCTGACATATGTCATTTTCTATCCTATTCTAGTGTTTATTCTTACTACTGAAGTGAAACTCCTAATATGCACTAATAGTTTCCTAGATTTGTAATTCCTCCTCCTCTTCTTCCTCCTCATCCTTCTCAGTACTTCAGCTATGTCATTTGTCTTCAGCTTTTAATAGTTGTTGACCACCTCTTTGGTGTAGACTCTTCTGACACCTTATCTTTCTGTACCCTCATGTTCTCTTCTGACTAGAATGATGCTTCTGACTTTATTAGTACCACTCTGTACGTATGCCCACAAAGGTACAGCTCCCAAGAAAGATGTGTTAGTAAGATTGTGCTCATGGAACTTTGTTTCCTCTGTATTCGTTATTGTTTGTTATTATTATTGTTTGTTATTCTTAGCATCCAGTATTGACCTCTTTCTACAGAAGACCTCAGATATCTGTGTGGCTATTATCTCCTCCTCACTCCTGATTCATTTCTCAAGTGCTTCCTGAGAGTCTCCATCACCTGCTCTGTTCTTTTCAAAGTGAGTTCATTTTTCCATGCCTGCTCTTTCTTCTGTGTATCCTCTTATCAACCTCATTCTCTGAGGAACGCATTTTTAAAACCTTGGTCTTTTGTCTTGCCTCATATCTTTGCTTTCACTTGCTCTATGTGCCATTTCAGAAAACAGGATTTATTTGTTTTTTAATTATCCTGTGCCTTTTATTACTTCTTATGTTGAGAGCCTCATTCCTTTTCCCAGGGATTGAACACCTTCCAATTTCCTCTACTATTCCTCTAATCTAGTCTGCTTATTGCTGCAGTCAGTCATATCTTGGATCTTATTTCCACACTCAGAAACTTTCAGGGGCCAGGTATGGTGGAGCAAGCCTGTGATCCCAGCATTCAGAAGGTTGATGCAGGAGGATTGCTGCGAGTTCAAGGCCAGCATGGGTTTCATAGTGAGTTCAAAATCAGGGATCCCCTGTTACTTAAAGGATAAGGTTTGGAATACATGACTATAGCAGGCACAACTCTCTGTGAATTTTTGTTTTGTTTTGTTTTTTGATTTTTTGAGACAGGGTCTTGCTACATAGTTCAGGCTGTCTTACAGCAGTCTTCCGCCTCAACCTCCCAAGTGCTGGGATTGCAGAAGTGGACCTCTATGCCCAACTTTTGGGTTTTTGTTTGTTAGCTTTGTTCCTGAAGATTGAACTCTTGAGACTCACACTGAGATACATCCCCAGCCCTTTTTATTTATTACATTGAGACAGATCTTACTAAGTTGCCAAGGTGGGCCTTAAACCGGTGTTCCTCCTTCCTCAACCTACTGAGTAGCTAAGATTACCTATATGTACGTACCACTGTGCTCATTTCTCTTATTTCATTAGCCTACTTCTGTAAATTTACTCCCAGGATTGCTTAATCATACTAAATCAAATCTGTTCCTACTGTATTTACTTTTCCCCACTTTTCCAGTTCTAAGGATTGAATGCAGGCTTGAACCCAGCCTTATTTATTTATTTTTGTTTTTTGGTACTGGGGATCAAACTCAGGACCTTGTGCTTGTGAGGCAGGCATGGTACCACTGGGCTAAATCCTGGGCCCAGCCTTTTTTATTTTGAAATAGGTTTTTGTGAAGTTACACAGGCTGAGCTCAAAATTATAACCCTCCTTCCTCATTCTCCCAGAGTGCTGGGATTATAGGAGTGCATTACCACACTTGGCTTCAAATGACTTCTGTGTAGCCAGTTCCAAAGGTCACTTCTAAGTTCTTGTATTTAATGTGTTGGCAGCATTTATAACATTGCCATTTACTCTGTCTACCTTGAAAAGCTTTTCTCTTAGCTTACAAGTCACCACGTTCTTCTAATTTTCTTTTTACTGTATTAGACTCAAAGTCCTCTGTTCCCATATCCATTGCTTCTGAACTAGGAGTGTTCTAGATTTTAAACCTGTTCCTCTTCTCTGTATTTGAGGGGGGCTGTGGTGTTTGCTATGCTGTACCTTTCTGTTTATGCTTGTTAACTGGAAAGTGTTCCACTGATACATTCTTTGTCTAAAATTTTACACATATTTGCTACTTCTCTTTGCCTAGGTTTTCAATTCATCATTAACTAAACGCTCTGAATTTTTATTATTCTGTTGTCTATTGTCTGGATCTTCTCCTTGAGCATGACAGAGTTTTGTGTTTTTATCACTGTTGCTTCTCCAGCAGCTAGAATATCTCAAAAGTAGTAGCTGTCCCAAAAACTACTTTTTTGGGGGGGGTACCAGGGATCGAACTCAGGCCCTTGCGCTTGAGAGGCAGTCGCCAGAACCACTGAGCTAAATCTCCAGCCCCCCCAAAACTACTTTTGAATGACTGTTCTTACCACCTCTGACTTTCCCAGATGAAATTCCATGTGTCCTTCAAAGTCTAGTTCACATGCCATCACTGTAAATCCTTTCATGGTGCCTCCTGCAGGAAGTCATCTCTCAAACTGTCTTCTTCCTTGATTTTATATATAGTTTAGAGAACATTTTATATTTAGCTTTATAGTTTATTTTTCCATAATCATAGTGCTGGCACTGAGCAAATATTAAATAAATTAAGTGTATTGGAATTTCTTTCTTTTTTTTTTTTGTGTGTGTGTGTTTTTTGAGACAGGGTCTCACTATGTAGTTGAGACTGACCTGGAACTCACTGTATAGTCCAGGCTGGTCTCAAACTCACAGCGATCCTCCTGCCTCAGCCTCCCAAGTGCTGGGATTACAGGTGTGCACCACCACACCTGGCCTGTAGTGGAATTTCTTTACATGGTAGCTCTTCTATTAAACTTTTTTTTTTTGTACTGGAGATCAAACTCCCAACCTTACACTTGTGAGGCAGGTGCCAGTGCCTTTGCACTAAATCCCTGGCTTAAACTTTTTATATAGTACTTTGTTTGCTACTTACCTGACTTATTTTTTCTCCCCTCATTGAGTTTATTGGTACATTTTAAATATACAGTACAGTTACATTCATCATTGGGATCTTATACCTTTACATAACAGGTCTTGGTTTTCATTTTTTCCCCTTACCCCCGCCCCTCCTTTACCCTTTACCTGACTTATATAAGACTTCAGAATAAACATACAAATTGGCTGACAGTGGGTAATCCACAGTGAAATTTTATGTGGTTCTCATTGTTGGTATGCATCTTGTTTTATTTTTTATTTATTTCTTTTGGTACCAGGGTTGGAACTTGGGTCCTTGTGCTTGAAAGCAGGCGGTGGAACCACTGAGCTAAATCCCTGGCCAATGTTGTTCTAAATTTTTAAGGTGCCAGCATTTTGGTTGGTAGTATAGTTCAATGGTACAGTGTTTGCCTAGCATGCACAGAGCCCTGAATTCAATCCTTCACATTGCAAAAAGACGAAACAGAAACGAACAAAAATCTAGTGAACTCTTTTATGGGGCTCAAATTTAAGATATCCCTGGGAAATAGTTAATATATTTGGTAGGGCCAGCCTTGCATTTTCACATAACAACAACCAGCTAAAGCTCAGTGATAATTATAATCTTATGATGATGGATATGCTCATCAGATTGACAGATTCCCCATCACTCTTTGTTGTCTTCAATACTACTGGTCTAATAACAGTTATCATTATTGTCTGGCTTACCTAAATCGTTTGCTACTTTCCTTTTGCCTGTGTTTGTTTTATTTTGCAAACCCACCTTAAAAGAATATGCACTTTCCTTTAAAATGATGATGAGGTGAATATGTTTTATTATATGAAAAGCTATATGATTCTTAACATGATTGCACTGAAGTGCTGGCACTTCTTTATTAATTTAATTTTTGGGCACAATACTGAATTATATCAAATATTTGTTGCATAGATGCTCCTCCTCCTACATGGGAACAGCTAGAAAATGGGCTGGTTGCTGTGCGTACCGTGGTACATGGCCTGGTTGATTATATACAGAACCACAGCAAAAAAGGAACAGATCAACAGCAGGTAAGGGAGTAGTTTGAAATTCACAGGTAAGCTGCTTTAGATATAATTTAAAACTGCAGGTAAGCCATTATGGGTATACCTACAGAAGCAGAGCTAAAAAGGTCATATGATTATTTTGAGACTGATGAAATTGGCATAGTTACCAGCTAATTTAATGGTTTAGCCTGGTAATTTTATCTGATAACATTGAAATAACCCATATTGAGCATTATAATATGCTGAGGTCACTTTGGATATAGAGACCTATAGCCAAAGAAAGTAGAGAAAGTAGATTCTGTTCTCCTCACTTAGTATTACATTTCATTTTGTCAAAAGGTGTCACTTTTTAGCCAGGTATGGTAGTGAACGCCTATAATCCAACACTCTGGGAGGCTGAGGCAGGAGGATCACCATGAGTTTAAGGCCAGACTGAGCTACATAGTGAGACCTTGTCTCAAAAAGAAAAGTGTCACTTTTATTACTAATGTTTTATCTCCCCAATACTACTCATATATCTATAGACATTTTTCTGTATTAGTGTTGGTTTTTTTGTACCAGGGATTGAACTCAGGACCTTGTGCTTGCAAGGCAGGCAGAGTGCCATTGAGCTAAATCCCTGGCCCTTCTGTATTAGTACCTTAAGTTTTCTCATTGATAATGCCTTTTATTCCAGTGATCTAAATTTTTTTTTTTTTTTTAATTTACTGTAGGGAGAAAATCCAAGACCTTCCCACTGAGCTACATTTCCAACTCTTTTTTTTTTTCATTAAGTTTATTGGTACTTTTTAGGTATCTAACCTTTTTTTATTTTGAGTTCTGTTGTAGAGCAAATTTGCCTAGCATGCACATGTTTATGTATTTAAGCCCTAGCGTTGAAAAGAAATTAGTTATAGGATCTGCTTTAGTATAGGGCTTTTTGTAGATTTTGTGATGTACATAGCTGTGCTGAACATTGCACAAAAGCTGTTAGAACAGTTTACGCACTCTTGAAAATCTTAAACTTTGTTGATCGGAGGCTGAGGCAGGAGGATCACTGAGTTTGAGGGCATCCTGGGCTACATAGTGATTTCCAGGCCAGCCTGAGCTACATAAGAAGACCCTATCACAAACAACCAAACAGAGGATCATGGAGCTGCCCTGAGATTCATTCAAGAATTATATGATGTCACAGTCTCCCGAGGGCTGGGATTACAGGCATGTGCCACCACTCTTGGATTGCTTTGTGTAGTTTAGATAAAAATGGGATTTAGTCTAAATTACACATCTAGATTATCAGGAGCCTAGACTGACAATAAAAAATTCCTGTTTGTTTTGTTGTGATGGTTTTGCTTTATGTCTTATGCTCTGATTTTGGTCACAGCCTCCACAGCATAGCAAATACAAGACATATATGTGTCGAGATATGAAGCAGAGGGGAGGATGCCCTCGTGGAGCCAGCTGTACATTTGCACACTCACAGGAGGAACTGGAAAAGTAAGTGTGCAAGTTGTGAGACTTGGCCTTTCGAATAATATAAAAGCAATAGTTTGCTGACTTTGAGAAGTACAAAAATGAATAGGCAATTGTTTGAAAATTGAAAAACTAAGTTTTCTTAAAGACTAGTTTCTTCAGCTTTCATTACGTTACTCCTACAGATAGGAAGATGTTTTTTGGTGAGTTAAATCTCAGAATAAATTGTTTGCTTATTTCATTCAATTGTGTTTTGTGGCTCGGCATGGTGCCTGTAATCTCAGCACTCAGGAGGCTGAGGCAGGAGGATCGCTGTGAGTTGGAGACCAGCCTGGGCTACATAGTGAGTTCCAGGTCAGTCTCAACTACATAGTGAGACCCTGCCTCAAAACAAACAAAAAATACAATAAAAATAATTTTGGTTTGTGTTTTGCTGTTACTTAGGACACTAGTGATTGAACCTGGGACTTTCACACTGTACTACCTCTCTAACCCTCTTTAAATTAATTTTAGACAGGTCTTGCTAAGTGGGCTTGAACTTACACTTCTCGTGCTTTGGCCTCCCAGAGTGCTGGGATTACAGGCATGCACCACCACACTGAGCTTAAATAAAGTCCATTGTCACATATACATCAGAATATCTTAATGCAGTAGAAATGTCATAGATATTTTTCCACGTTAGTAAATTACATCTTAAAAGTCACTGTGGTAATATGATGCTTAGTACAGTATGTGATTTGGTCTCAACAGAGACCAGTAACTACTAGCCAGGTGTGGTGGCGCGTGCCTGTAATCCCAGCACTCGCAGGGCTGAGGCAGGAGGATCGCCACGAGCCCAAGGTCTGCCTAGGCTACATAGCAAGATTATGTCTCAAAAAAACAAGAGGAGAGTGAGAAGGGGAGGGGGAGATCCCTGATACAGAGTGAGCTGCTACAAATCTATAAGGAAGAGGAACCTGTGTTCATGAATCATTGGGTCATAAAATAAATAGCATACTAGTCGTGTGTTGCTTTAACAAAATTCCTCGGGCTGGTAACTTGCAAAGAGGTTTATTTGGCAAATGATTCTACAGGATCCAAACAGTACAGAACAGATTCCTTGTGAGGGCTCCCTAGATGTGTCATGACATGGTGCAAAAGCAGAAAGGGCAAAGTATGGTTTTGTGTGCAGCTTGTTCTTGCACATACTGATTCATGCCACAAATCCAGCATTAACACCTACCATGGGCAATGATCTAATTTCCTTCCACTGATTACTCCCAAAGGTTCTGCCACCTCTCAGCATTGCCACTTTGGGGACCCTTTCGGGGGGGGCACATCCAACCCGTAGTTAAACCATAGCAAACACAGTTCACACAAGTAATACCTATGGCCATTACACATGTAATGTATTCAGCCTCACTAGCTTTAAAGAAATGTAAATTAAACAGGTTTTTAAACAGGTTTTTTTTTTTTTGTTTATTTTGGTTTTGGTTTTTTTTTTGGTATTGGGGATCGAACTCTGGCTCTCGCACTTGTGAGGTAGGCAGTGGAACCACTGAGCCAAATCCTTGGCCCTAAAACAGTATTTTTAACTATCATGTTAACAGTTGGGCATGGTGGCACAGTTCTATAATCCCAGCACTGGGAGGCTGAGGCAGGAGGATTTGCTGTGAGTTCAGGGCCAGCCTGAACTACAAAGACACACCAGGCCTCAAAAAAACCAAAAGAATTAAAAAAAAAACAAATTATCATGTTAACAATGACTAATGCTACCCAGTATTTCATGAAATATTAAAAAATACTTTCCTGGGCTGGGGATTTAGCTCAGTAGCACAGCGCCTGCCTGGCAAGGGTAAGGTCCTAAGTTTGATCCCCCCCCAATTTTTTTCCTTTATTATAAGAAGTTATTAATAATTTTGGAGAGCAGTATAGTATTATTAAAATGTATAATATGCATACCATTGACCTATCAATTCTCTTTCTGGTTATTCACATAAGGGTACAAGTTTGTATACATAATTATTAGGTACAGAATTTATTTTAATAGCAAAAAAAAAAAAACCCTAAAATGAACTGGTATAAACGAATATTGAAGATTGAATGGAGGAAAATATCACCACATAATATATAACCGTATTTCTGTGAATAATAATCTAACATGCGGGTGGTTATGAATATTAAAACATGTTACCCCTGAAAGATACCCTTCTAAATTTCTCAGATATAAAAAATATAGAAATAACAGCAATATTCTAATGGGCATATAGTTTTTACATTGTTCTTAAAAATGTACTAGCAACTTGCTTTCATTGTTGAGGGACAAGAAGGCTGGAGTCTGGTGGCTTAGTTTCTCTCCTTTTGTTAAATTTAGAATCTGTGTGACTTTTTCTTTTAAACCACAGCGACCATATACATTTAGGGCATTATTCTATAGTATTGTTTCCCTTTACAAACTTTTAAAACAACTTCAGTTTTATGCAAACACGTAAGTAATGTCAGTGTCTCTGAAGCAATTCTGAAAGTCAGTATTCTTTATTAGATAAACATTTTAATGCAAGCAATAAATTTTTCACTGTACATTGGCTTTGCTTTTCTTTTATCTGTTTTGGGGGCTTGTTTTTTGCAGGTCCCCCAACCCTGTTTCTTTTGTTTTTGTATGAGTGGGGACTGAACCCAGGGCTTCAGGCGTGCTAGGCAAGCCCTCTGTCACTGAGTCACATCCTTAGCCTCTCTTAATTTCTAACATAAACTGACTGTATCCAAAGTATACATTTGAAGAAAAGCCAAAGTAAATATTTCAAACTGTCTACCCTTCAATAATTTTCAGAAATAGAAATTTCAGTAAATATTATAGGAAAAATATTAACCTGATTTGAATGTTGTAAATATTAATACATGTTCACAAGAAATTTTATATTTAATCAGTGTGCCTTGCTGATCAAGATTTTATAGGAAATACACATATAGTTCTTAAGTATAGTTCTTCATTTCCTAGACTCGGTGTTTTCAAGAGAGAATTTTAAATACATTTTAGTTCTTGGTTTTCCTTTTATATTTGTCTTTTTATGCATGCCTTTTCTTTTTGTATAGATTTCGTAAAATGAACAAACGTCTGGTTCCTAGAAGACCCCTGAGTGCCTCTTTGGGTCAGCTAAATGAGGTGGGCCTGCCTTCAGCAGCAATCCTTCCAGATGAAGGTGCAGTGGATCTGCCTAGCAGAAAAACCTCTGCTCTACCCAATGGAATTGTGTCAGCAGGGAACACAGTAACACAGCTCATCCCACGAGGCACGGACCCCAGCTATGATTCTAGTCTGAAACCAGGAAAGATAGATCATCTGAGCAGTAGTGCTCCTGGATCTCCTCCTGACCTGTACGTCATTTTTCCTAAGTCTTAAGGGTTCTTCCCTATACATAGAAGTAAAAGGAAGGAGGAAAAATTGTTTTGTTTTGGAGGAAAAACTGATTTCTTGTCTTTTGTTGTTTTTTAACTTCTATTTCCTATACTAGTGTTTTTTGTTTTTTTTTAATGAAATAGCATTGGTGAAAAAGATCAAAATTTACAAATTTTTAGAGGGGTTGGCTATTAGAATAAACACGTTTCTCAAATTATGGCAATCCTTTTTTCCTATAACAGTTTCTGTACATTAGAAGTATTTGTAGAGACCTTAAACTTGACTTATCTAATCTCATTCTCTTAGACTAGAGTCTGTCCCTCAAAGTATTTCCACCTTACCTGTGACTCCACATCCTGTACCTCAGAGGGGGCCACCAGAGCTGCCTCCCATGCCTGTCACCAAACCCCTTCAGATGGTACCTCGAGGTTCTCAGTTATACCCACCACAACAAGCTGATGTTTATTATCAGGATCCTCGAGGAGCTGCCCCACCTTTTGAACCAGCACCTTATCAGCAGGGTAATGATCTTTCATTGTGTCACTTGATTTTCTCGTATTTACTGGTATAAGAAGTTTCCAGGTAAGAGTGATCATTTACATAGTAACCTTCTAAAAATAAATGCGTTTTGCTTTGTTTTTTTGAGACAGAGTCTCACTGTGTAGTGAAGGCTGGCTTAAACTCACTATGTAACCCAGGCTGGCCTCAAACTCAAGGCTATCCTCCTGCCTCTGCCTTTGCCTTGCAGTTCCAGGCATGTGCCACCATGCTTGGCTGCATCTTTAATATTTTGAAAAAAATGAAGTTTTTTTTTTTATGATCATCTATGCACATTGCTTTTACCTAGTAAATGTAAACCTATAAGAAATGTTTATATAATTATAGAAGTAACAAGTCATTCAAGTAGACAATAGAAACTTGCTGATGAGTAAAGGAGAATGCATTATTCTGAATAAAATTTTCAACACAATGAAAATATTAGTATTTTAGTACATACAAATTGCACATAGTATATTTTTGTTTTAATCAGTATTTTTCTATATCTTGTAATACAGCCAGTCCAGGCTACATAGTGAGTTCAAGTCCAGTCTGCACTACATAATGAGACTCAGTATCAAAAAAGAAAAAAAAAAGACAAAGTATTTTCTAAGATTTATTGATAGTACAAAATAATAGAATAAAGGATAAGAGAAGAGTGCTGAGATTATAGATGTGCACCACTACACCAAGCTTAATTCCTTTTTTTTTATAATGGTGATAGATCAAGGGTATCCTCTTTTATTTAGCCAAGGTGGTCTTTTAATTTTAATCATAAATATCATCATCTCTGCATCTGCATTCTCTGTGGAATTACTAATACAGTAGACCCTTGACTTACTAATACAATTTGTTTGCGAGGGCAGGTTGTAATTCAGGTGGTCACTTGAAGGCCCGGGCTCTTCTACAAGCCTTCAAAGTCTCTCTCCTGTATAATCTTAGGCCACACATTTCTTCCAGGCAAATCTCAGTGACCTTAGAGAGACACTGGCCCAGCATTTCTCAGTGAACCCCACACAGAAAAGGATGTAGTAATGTGTCTTTCAGAACTCTTTATGGTTTAAACCTGTATCTGAGACCATCTGCAAGCACAAGCAGCTTCAGATTATAACACAAGGCTTTGGTCATAAGTTAAAACTAAAATTCCAGTTGTAACCCAAGTTGTTCGTATGTCAGACCAGTCATAACTCAAGGGTCCACTGTACATCCAAAATAATGATTTATTCATTTCTTTTTTTCTTTTTTCTTTTTGGTACTGGGGATCGAACTCGGGTCCTTGTGCTTGCAAAGGAGGCACCGGAACTACTGAGCTAGATCCCCGGCCCAATGATTTATTCATTTCAGGAAAATCCAACTACTTTTGTTGAGGTGGCCAATGTGTAACTTGAAATAGACTTGTGTATCAGTTAAGGTTCAAATGTAGATTTTAAAAATTCTTTTAACTATTAAGTAGAAAGAAATTTAATGCAGGAATTAGGTACTTACAATATTGGTTTCCACTAGAGAATCAGGCTTGATAGGTCTCTGGGAATGAATCTAGAGCCAAGCTGGGCATAGTCGCACGTGCCGAGAATCCCAGTATTCAGAAGACTGAGGTAGGAGGATTGTAGCAAGGTCCAATCTAGTCTGAGTTACACAGTGGGACCCTGTTTCAAAACAGAAAAGGAAAAAAAAAAAACCCTCTAAAAGGCATGTAGTAGTCACTAGATCTGCATGAGCAAAATGGGTCTTTTGTGTATCATGTCTCTTACCAGTTAGTTTCACATTCAAAACTCCAATAGAACCTAAACTTGAGGGATGTCTGCAAAATGAGTTTTTGCTTTCTCATTTCTGCATCAATTAAGGCATACAAAAAGGGGCCAATAATAAGAGCAGTCTATAAATAAATAAAGCAGATTATAAATAAATAATAAGAGCAGATTGTAAATCGATTAGATTCTTTAACTTCTTTATTAATATACGTGCGCATACTTGGGATCAAACCCAGAACCTTGTGCAGGCTAGGCAAGCACTGAACAACAATCCTAGCCCTGAAGGTAATTTTGCTTCTTGTTTCTCATAAAGCTGATGTGACAGTATTGTTTAGTCAGAGTGAAAACTGTTAAAGAAAAAGTAAATGATTAATACTTAAATGTTTCCCCCAAAAAATCTTACTAGAACAATTGACTGGCTCATTGCCGCTTTTGGTTCCTCTTTTGTGTTATACAGGGATGTACTATACTCCACCACCACAGTGTGTGTCCCGCTTTGTCCGACCTCCACCATCTGCTCCTGAAGCTGGTCCTCCATACTTGGATCATTATTCACCATACCTCCAAGATCGTGTTGTAAACTCTCAGTATGGCACACAGCCTCAGCAGTACCCAGCTATGTACCCACCTCACTATGATGCCCGTCGAGTGTACCCTGCCCAGTCTTACACAGCAAGAGAAGAGATTTTCAGAGAAAGTCCTATACCTATTGAGATTCCACCTGCAGCGGTACCATCTTATGTACCAGAATCCAGAGAAAGATACCAACAGGTAGAAGGTTACTATCCAGTGGCTCCTCATCCAACTCAGATCAGACCTTCATATCCCAGAGTATGTTGAATTTTTTTTCTTCTTACATGGTCTGTCTTACTTAATTTGATAATTTATTACAGCCATTCCTTTCTCCCCCTCCATGGTAATAACCCTCTGATCAAAAATTTTTAAAAATAATATAGGTTCTTTTTTTGTGGGGGGGGGTACCAGGGATCGAACTTGGGTCCTTGTGCTTGTGAGGCAGGCGGCGGAACCACTGAGCTAATTTTTTAGCCTGAGATTTTTTAAAACTATTAATTGGACCTCCTCCTAACTAGTCATTAATAGTTTGTTAGATGGTTTAGATCTAATAGAAATTTTTGGTCTCTGACTAAGAAAAATCAAAATTTAGCTCTGTGAGATCTTGAGAGTTTTGATTGGTTTTGTGTTTCTTTGTTCTTTTAAGTCTTCCTGTTTGCAAATTACTTTTGATTTAAAATATATGCTAGTTAAATTAATGTGTTCTGAAATTCTTTGTCAATTTTAACTGATCTATTTTCAGGAGCCTCCTTATGGCCAGCTTCCTCCTCCTCCACAGCCACATCCTAGTCTGGATGAACTGCATCGTAGACGAAAGGAAATAATGGCCCAGTTGGAGGAAAGAAAGGTTATCTCTCCACCTCCATTTGCACCTTCACCAACATTACCACCTGCATTCCATCAAGAGGAAGTAAGCACATATTTAGAATGACCAGTTTTTCTTTCATTAGTATTATGTTTGGGTGTCCTGTTGAATTAATGTTTTATCTGTTCCCAAGGTTATGAAGAAATTTCTTGGGTTTTTTTCCTCAAGTATTATTTTATTTTGTGTTTAGCTCTATAATCCATTTAGAATTGAATTTTATGTAGAATGCTTTAGGATTTAAGATTATTTTCTGTGAGCTGATGTTTTTGTATTTTATTTTCTTTTATTTCCTTCTTCAGTGCTAGAGACTGGGGACTAGGCAAATGCTTTAACCACTGAGCTGTATTCCCAGCCCAAATATTCATTTATTTTTCCCCAATAAGGGTATCTCATTGACTGCACCATTTAATGAGATGAACATCCTTTGCCTGCTAGACTTTATTCTGTTTTATCCATCTATTTATTCCTTACATCAATACCACATTCTCTTAATGTAGTTTTATTGCAAGTCTTGGATGCATAGTGGTATATGTTTTCTAGCATTGTTCTTCATGAATCAGCATTTTACTTTACACAGAAGTATCTTGCCCCAGTTCAGACATGCATAAACTATACCCTGAGTCTAAAGATTTGATGCCAAAACTGTAAAATATCTCATTCATATTTTAATATCTTGGATATATTTTATCAAATGAAATGTATTTTTAAAATTAAATTTACTGCCAGGCGTGGTGGCGCATGCCTGTAATCCCAGCACTTGGGAGGCTGAGGCAGGAGTATCATTTGTGAGTTCGAGACCAGCCTGGGCTGCATAGTGTGTTCAGGTCAGTCTCAATTACATGGTGAGACCCTGTCTCAAAAAAAAAAAAAAAAAAAATTAAAAACTTGACTGGAGATTTAGCTCAGTGGCACAGTTCCTGCCTTGCAAGTACAAGGCCCTGAGTTCGATCCCTGGTACCAAAAAAAAAAAATTCAGCTGGGCATGGTGGCACAGGCCTATAATTCTAGCACTTGAGAGGTTGAGGCAGGAGATTCACCATGAATTTGAGGCCAGCCTGGGCTACATAGCAAGAACCTATCTTAATAAAACAAAACAAACTAAAAGTTAAATTCACGTTTTTGGGGGGGTTTGTTTGGTTTGGTTTGGTACCGTACCTGGGATGGAACTCACAGCCGTGGGCTTTCAAGGCATGCACCACTGAGCTGAGCTAAATCCTGGGCCCCTCACTTGTTTCTTTTTTTGTTTGTTTTGTTTTGTTTTTTGAGATACTGTCTCACTATGTAGTTGAGACTGACCTGGAAGTCACTATGTAGCCTACGCTGGTCTTCAACTCACAATGATCCTCCTGCCTCAGCCTCCAGAGTGCTGGAATTACAGGCATGCACCACCACACCCGGCTCTCTTTTTATTTTTAATGTAGCTACTAGAAATTTTTAAAGATTACATGTATAGGTCATGTTATATTCTGTTGTGCAGTGTTGCTTTGGATCAGTATAAGTGATGTTTTTTCTAATTTCAAGTCTCCATAAACATGTTATACTCTTCTATTTATGTGGGTAACTAATGTTTTGTTAAACTGATTTTAAATGGAATCCTTTGTTTGTTTGTTTTGACATTAGGAACCAAACCCTAGACCTTACTTGTGTGGGACAGAGGCTCTATCACTGAGCCACATCCAGGGCCATTAAATTGAACCTTTTTTTAAAATTTCATTTTCTGCTACTCACAGAGAAATTAAATTTTTGTGTATTGATCTTTCTATTCAGCAGAGTTCTGAATTTCCTTATTAATTATAGTATTTGCTACTGGATTCTTTTAGGATTTCTTGGCACACAGTCATGTCCTCTATGGGTAATCAGGGGTTATTTTTCCTTTTTAATCTTTGTCTGTTTTTAACCTTCTTATACACCAATATAATGTTGAGTAGTAGTAAATAGCAGGAATCCTTGACTCATTTTTAATTGTTGGGTAAACTTTTTAATAATTCATCACTATGATGTTTGCTATAGTTGTTTTGGTTTTGGGTGTTTGTTTTTTTGTTTTGTTTTGTTTTTTGTTTTTGTTTTTTGAGACAGGGTCTTGCTATGTACTTCAGGCTGGCCTTGAACTCACTACGTAGCCCATCCTGGCCTCAAGCTCTTGGTGATCTTCCTGCCTCAACCTCCTGAGTGCTGGGATTATAGGCATACACCAACCATGCCTGGCTGTTGTGGGTTTTTTTGTTTGTTTTTTGTAGAAAATCTTTATTGGGTAAATGAGGTTCCCTTCTGTTCCCAGGTTTTGTTTTTTGTTTTTGTTTTTTTTGGTACTGGGGATCGAACTCGGGACCTTGCTCTTGTGAGGCAGGTGGTGGCACCATTGAGCTAAATCTCTGGCCCTCCCAGGTTTGGTTTGGTTTGGTGTGGCTTGGTGTAGTACTGGAGCTTGAACACAAAGAGTGCTGTCTACATCCCCAACACTTTTTGTAATTTTTAATTTGAGGCAAGGTTTCGATAAGATGCCCAGGATGTCCTCAAATTTGCAATCCTTCTGCCTCAGCTTCCTGAGAATCTGAAATTATGGGTGTGCACCATCATACCAAGCTGTACTTTTCTTCTTTTTATAAATGAGACTCATCAAATATTTATTTAACTCAGTATTGAAACCAGTAGGATGGTTAAAGAAAAGATGGGCAAATACTGATTGTGAAAGTAAGAAAAAAAAAGAACCCTGAAGTAGAGTTGCTTTAAAAACAGTAAAACTGAGTACTGTACCACAGAGCAATAAACCACTATCTTGGATGTTATTCTCTGTGTAATTCTACAAAAGAGTGCTAATGGGCTGGGGATTTAGTTCAGTGGTTCTGCTGCCAGCCTCGCAAGTGCAAGGACCTGAGTTCGATCCCTGGTACCAAAACAACAACAACAAAAAGAGTGCTAATAGTTATTATGAATGAGTATTATCTTTTCTTTTCTGTGTCATATGATATTGTCTGTAATGATAGCTATTTTCTCACCAGATAATATTTTGTCCTGGTTAGTCTTGATAGAATATTAATCAATTTTGTCTCTTAAAATGCCAACTTTCTGCTTTGTTTTGGTTTTGGTTTTGGTTTTGGTTGCAGGGATCGAACCTGCAAGGCAGGTGCAGTGCCACTGAGCTAAATCCCCAGCCTCTGCTTTGTTCTTATTCTGTTTCTTTTGGTTTCTTATTGTACATACTACCTCAACTTGTAGTATATATCCTTTTTACTAGTCAAGGAAGTTTTCTCAGCAGGTTTACATTTGATATTGTAAGGAGCATATGTTATGTCCTTTACATTTGGAATTATGTTTCTAAAGAACATTGCTAACTGATAAACTATGCACAATAAATAATGAAAATTAAATTTCATTATACATAGAAAATGGTAACCTTTGGGATATATGAAAATAATCTACTAAATAGAAGTTATTCATAGTATCTAGCTTTCTCATCCAAAATCTTTAGAAAATTTTTTCACAATGTAAGGCCCTCAGTTTGATTCCTGGTACCAAATAATGATAACAATGATGTAAGCATGCATGTATTTGTACTATGCATTGAACCTAGAACCATCACACTGAGCTACATCCCCAGCCTTTTGATTTTTGTTTTTAGACAGTGACATGCTGAGTTTCTCAGATTGGGCTCAAACTTGGGATTCTCCTGCCTTGGTTTCCAGAGTGCTGGGATTATAGGCATGTTTCACCACACCTGGCTAAGAACTTCATATAGAATCATTTCACGGTCATACAGAGCTCTGAATATTTAAACCTCAGTTCTGCTTATAAACAGCCAACATGTAGTTGTACTAAATTTGTACGTTTTAGCCAGATTTGGTGGCACATGTCTGTCACTCTCGGAGGCTGAGGAAAAAGGATTATAAGTTTGAGCCAACCTGGACAACTTTACAAGACCCTGTTTTAGTGTGTGTTGGAGGTACAGCTCAGTGTATGAAGGCCCAGCTCTGCAAAAAGACAACAGAAAAAGAAATTCTAGATTTTAGCAATATGTAATATAGAAAGATCGACTTCTCCATATGCCATTTTCTATAATAACCGTTGTCAGCCTAACGTGAGTTTCACCTTTTTCTTTGCATGAACTAAGAAATTATGTTCTGATAGTATTATTTAATAATGCATCCTGAAAGCTGGATGTGCACACCTATAATCCCAGCACTTGAGAGGCTGAGGCAGAAGGTTATAAGTTTGAGGTAATTTTAGAACTTAAGACAAAAATTAGGCATCTTTTTATCTCTGAATCATTATGTGGACCATAATTTATTCACAATATGAATTATTATTGTTAGGTTTCAGTAAAGAGTTGTTAAGTCATCATCCACTGTATAGAACATGTAATTGTGTATAATGTTCTTGTTCACCTGAGATGTTACCGTAAGAACCACTGAGGCAGATCTAACAAAACTAAGTATGAGCAAATCATCTCTGAAATCCTAGTTTGAAGGCTGGGGGTGTAGCAGTGATAGAGTATTTGTCTAGCATATGCAAGGCGCCAGGTTTAGTCCCCAGGATGGGGAAAAACCTTAGCTTTATTACTTGAAAAATATTAAGGTGCTTCTTTTTGACCTGCTAGTAACAAAATAAGTCTAAAGACATCATTGCTCACTTGTATTTTTTTCAGTCTGTGAAAATCTATCCCTGACATTTAATCAAATAACTGTCATTTATTGCTATAGCTTATTGTTTTAAGAAATTCCTTGTCTCTGTTGTGTAACTCATATTTTGTCTTTCTTGGGTTTTTTTTTCCTTTCTTTCTTTCTTTCTTTCTTTCTTTCTTTCTTTCTTTCTTTCTTTCTTTCTTTCTTTTTTTCTTTCTTTCTTTCTTTAGTTTTTGGATGACGAATTGAAGGTAGCTGGGAAATACAAAACAAATGATTATAGCCAATACTCTCCTTGGTCATGTGACACCATCGGCTCCTACATTGGAACCAAAGATGCAAAACCCAAAGATGTTGTGGCAGCAGGGAGTGTGGAAATGATGGTATGTGTTAATGGCTAAGCCAGAATTTGTACAAATCAAGACAAACCAAATAAATTTTTAGTTACATTAGTTTAGGCACAAATAATTGAGTTTTAAGAGTTTCAAACCATAACCTGTAGTTGAATTGCATTACAGCTCTATGGGATTTTTTAACTTTGTTCAAGTATAAATAAAAATATTCTGTTACTTATCTAGGATTACTATGAAGTTAGTAATTTCCCAACAGTTGGTTAGAGGCCAGGTTTAACTAGGTAGGTAATCAGGATCTTGAATTCCTTCAACAAATAAATTACACCTTTTTCACAAATCCAAAATTTAACTGAGCTTGAATCTAGCAAACAAAAGAGTATTACATGAATCCAAATTGTAGCTACTTAGCTTCAAGTTAGCAATGAGACATTGAAATTTTTGGGGTGTGTGTGTGTGTATTATGATGTAATACCAGTGTATCTAATAGGCCAAGCTTAAAATGCTGCTTTCATTTTTCAAAGAATTGAAATTTTCAAGAAGTAAATCCTGAGGGAAGTATGTACTTCCCTCATCTCATTGTTCTTCCTCTCTCTGCCCCTGCCAGTCATAACCTCTATCCTGAGTTTAATGTTTATTATTTTCACAAATTTTTGTTTGTTTTTTTGAGACAGGGTCTAACTATGTAGTTGAGACTGACCTGGAACTAACTAGCCCAGGCTGGTCTCAAACTCTCAGCCATCCTCCTGCCTCAGCCTCCTGAATGCTGGGATTACAGGCGTGGCCACCACGCCCAGCCCTTCACAAATTTTTTTTGAGGTGGGTCTAACTCTGCCTGCCACCACCACCCCCTGCCACCCACCCCGTTCCAGTGTTCCTACTACCTTAGCCTACCTAGTAGCTAAGTCTAGAAGTTTGCCACCAAGCCAAGCTTATGCTGTTCTTAAAAAAGTATTGTTTTTTTAAAAAATATTGTTTTCTATATTTATGGACATATAAATTATATACTTGAACTTGCAACACTGCCTGCCCCCCCCCCCCTGCCCCCCCCCCCGTTCCAGTGTTCCTACTACCTTAGCCTACCTAGTAGCTAAGTCTAGAAGTTTGCCACCAAGCCAAGCTTATGCTGTTCTTAAAAAAGTATTGTTTTTTTAAAAAATATTGTTTTCTATATTTATGGACATATAAATTATATACTTGAACTTGCATTTTTATTTAGTACTGTTTGAGATGTTTCCATATTTATATCTATAGCTCAAGTTCATTTATTTTTAACTGCTTTTATAAGACATTGCATAACTCATATCATTCAGTAAAATATAAGACATAGAGATAAATTGTTACTCATTTTGTGTTGTGAACAGGTAAGCTCTTTTTGATCTTTCACTTTTTTTTTTTTTGTCATGGCGATCAAACTCAGGACCTTGTGCTTGCCAAGCAGGCATGGCACTACTGAGCTAAATCCCTGGCCCTTGACCTTTTTCACTATTATGTACAGTGCTATAACAAAAGTTAATGCTTGCCAGGTGTGTTGTTTCACTCCTGTAATCCCAGCAATAGGGAGGCTGAGGCAGGAGGATTGCTGTGAGTTTGAGACCAGCCTAGGCTACGTAGTGAGTTCCAGGTCAGTCTCGACTACATAGTGAGACCCTGTCTCAAAAAGCCAAAAAAAAA